AGCTGTAGTGGTGTTAGAAGGCGGTAGTGGTGGCAATGGTGGAAGGTAGTAGTGGCGGTGTTGGTAAAAAGTGATGGCAATAGTGGTGGTGAAAAGAGATAATGGTGTATATGGCGGTGGTGGAAGCTAATGGAGGTAACTGTGGTGTTGATAGAAGGCAGTAAAGGTGGTGGTGGTAAAAGGCGATAGCGCTGGTGGTAATGGAAGGTGGTGGTGGTGATGGTGGCGGTAAAGGAAGGCGGTGTCGGTGGTTAAAGGTGGTGAAGGTGGTGGAAAGCAGTGGGCGGTGGTGAAAGTTGGTGGCAGTGGCGGTGGCAATTGTGATGGTGGTGGTGAAAGGTGAAGGTGGTTGTGGTAGAAGGTGGTTGTGGTTTTTTGACTTAGAACATAAGGATTTTTGAGAAGTTGATTTTTTTTAAAAAAATTACTTGGGAGTGAATTGGCCATTCCATAAGTTTAATTGTGGATATGATTTTCATTCCAGTAGAATAGTCATTCCCTCTCTAAATTGCATACCAAACAAATGAATAATTAGAATAGGCATTTTATTCCATTCCTACACACCAAACACGACATTATGATAATTGTCTTCTATCCGCTCAACCATATCATAGAGTGCAACTCTACACTGCTGAGAGATTTGTATCATTGTTAATCATCCAATTCATATTCTCAATTTACTTATACTAAATGTATATAATAATAATAATAAATTATCCCTCCTTCCCAAATTAAAGTTTTGTTTTGAAGATTTTCTTTTTAAAAAGGTGGGTTTTGATATTTTTGTATTATATTGATGGTGAATGAATTATCAAATATGTCCAAATGGATCCATGATGATTTACTTTTTATAAGTTTAATTCAAGAAGGTTAAATTGGTAATGCTACAAAAAAATAGTACTTTAATTTTTAAAATGCGACATTTATTTTGGAACAGCCAAAAATAAAAGGACAAACATTTCATTTGAGATTTATTGCATCCCGTATTCGTATCATATTGTATTCATGTTTGTGTCTACACTCGTATTAATACTTCATAACAGTCAATTAATGGGCTACAGGTCTTCAAAGAGACATTGCGACCCACCATCGTCAGGGATGGAGGCATTCAGAGTCCAGTGGGGGCAATTGCCCCCACTAGAATTTTTTTTTTATTATTTTATTTTATACCCCCTATAAAAAAATTATTTTGAAATATATACTTATAAAAAAATCCATTATCCCTACAGAAATTTTTGAAAATTAGCACTATTGCCCTCACAAATTCACATTGGGCTTCTTTAAAGAGAAAGGGCCAATGCTCCAAACTACTGAAAGCATCCATCTAACCATCAAACACATTACACAGAAAGTTATTTATAATGGTTTGAATTTTTTTTTATTATAATGGTTTGATTTGATTTTTATTTTTATTTATTTATTTATTATTATTATTATTATTATTTTTTTTTTTTGCTATTAAAAGTTACCCCACTTACATAATTTTCTGAATCTGTCCCACCACCACGATGCACTACTCAATTTGTGCAAGAATCTATGGTGCCCTTTTATTATGCTTATGGTTCAATTATTTAACTAAAATTTCTATGCAAGTGCTAGACAAATTAATTCATTGAGAAAAATATAATGACACGACAAGCTTAATTTCATGGGACAACCCTACAAAAGTTAACCTTTATGGCATGTATTTAATTATTCACCAACAATTTCTATGCACGTGTTTGATGAATTGCCACTTATTTGGACAAAGTACTACGTGTCCGCATCACACGCTGGTAGGAGGATATTCCACTCTTGTCTTGCACTCCGTTATTTATTTATTTATTTATTTTTTATGAGTAATGATACTTGCACTGATTTGTTACAGTGAATTATCTAATCGAATATTTTTATTTAATTATTTACACATAATACATGAAAGTAGGGAGCCTCACTTCTTTATTTATACATAAATGGACCAATTAAAATAAATAGGTCTGACAATTCCTTATAACAAATGAAATAAATAAAGGAGTGGACCCTTCATTTACATGTATTCTGCATAAATAATCAATCAGAAACATTCGGTTAGGTAATTCACCGCAACAAATCGATACAAGTATCATTACTTATTTTTTATTTCTATTTTATAACATAAATAATAAATATTATCATAATTGAATGTTTCTATAAATTATTCTCTAGTTTATATAAATGCCAATTTATTTTGAGATTCTAATCTCTCGTTTATGTAAGCAAATATTATTTCAAAAATGTTACGCCAGCTATGTGTCAATTTTTATTATTGCTTTTACTTTGACCCGAAATAAAAGCATTGTTTCTATTTTAAAGTATCTTTAACACTATTTCAAAACTTGTTTGGTAACGTTGTAAGATTTTTACCTACCTGTCGGACGCTTTTCTATTACATCATGTTGCAGGTACTCCCCCAGGCCGGCGAAGGAATGAAGCAATTCCGTCTGGGGAAACCTTAGCCTGAGCTATCATGGAGATTGTGCCAGGAAGAGCATAATTAAATAGGCTGTTGAAGTATTCTAAATATTGCAAGGGCAGATAGTATCTTCCCCGATTCAAGTGGGATCTCCATAAGCACACAAAGCACGTACAAAAGTGACTAAAGTCTCTAAATGTAGGGAAACTCCAGAAGACAAAAGTGATTATCGCTACAGTGTATACATATCCTCTCAACCATCCACCCTCGCTCCACAATTTTAGACCATTAAGAACTTCATCTCCCACCCTTGAAGCTTGAGAATTAATTCTCATGTTCCTCAAGATTTCTGCAGAGGTTGACTTCCTTCATTCTTACTATCTTTAGATGCCATCAACTTAGTCTGGAACTTCCCCTGTTACACTGCCTAGTGGAATATTCCCTAATGTCACGATTACAGTAGAGACAAAGGCAGCAATTAAAGCCAGCGAGCCCAAGCTTTTTACACAAGATCCCCAATGCCACGGAAACTTGCAAGATTTTTATAAAATAGTAAATTTTCATATTTTTCTGTAGGTTATGAAAAATTATTGAAATTGATATTATCAAACACGGCCCTATAAATTTAAGAAATTTAAGTACAGTTCAAAAATGGCATGCACTCTGACAAATAAGTGATGGTTAAGACTCAGATAGCAAATTATAGTGGGCTGGTGGTCACAGCCCATCATGGACCATTTTGACCAAACAAAAAAAAAAAGGTCATCTGTTCTTGTGAAAGCTACCTCTGCAAATAAGACATCGTTGTTATCGTTTTCCTTCAGACATCAAGTTTCAATGAATTTTCAACCTCCTCTCGGTCTGGCTAGTGTGCTGAGCAAGAAAATACCAAATTGGGGATATAGTAGTTTATTGGGGTAAAATGGAGAAAACATTTGGTGACAATGCTGAATGACTTTATGAAAATTATCTATCCATCAACCAACCATATGATAAAGTGGAAGTTGTACAATGTACAGAGCTTTGTGTCACTGTCATTGTTAGTCCATTGATATTATATTCTCAATTTAATTGTAGTAAAGTATACTTTACAAAAGTTCAGCATGGCCATACTAGTGCCCCAAAACTTCGAAGCTAAAAGAAAAATATCAGTTTGAAGTTGTAGGTCTTATTTTCTGTATCGGTTTACGGAGTAATTTTTAGTTCAAAAGATAAATTTGAACCAAATCAATTATATTAGTTCTAACAAAATTGAACTCAAACCGAATTGATAGAACTGTTTGAGTGAACCAATCCTAACTGTATAAAAATAAATTGGATCAGCTTAATTTCATGGATTGGGGTTTGCTAAAAATATAATTATGTTAGCTTAAATAAGAACCTATTGCTATCAACCCCAAAAAAGCTGCCATGACTTCTGCCAAACAACAAAAAAGCATGTATTTATTTCACACCCATAATAAAATTATGATCTTGGCAACATGTTTAAATAGTAAAACCACAAAATTCCAAGATCATTGAGCTTCCTTAGCATTTACAACAGACTATGAACAACTTGCCCAAATTATAATAAACAAAGGAAGGTACAAAGTTGTGAATGGGTCTCTAAACATAGTCCGGATCCTCTGTGGTACAGGTGTTGCATCTGATGGTCCGCATCAGTCACACGTTTGACACGAATGATGACACAAGTGCTATATCATATCTTATCAAGCCTGGTAGGGTTCACCTTCCCTCCAACCAACCTAGCAGGGTTCCCAACTGCAGTGGCCTTGATGGCACTTCCTTAAATACCACTGAACCCGCACCAAATTTTGGATGCCTATCCCCACGTCTTACCAGTCCCACCCAATGTCACATTATGAAAAATTAACACATTGTCTCCTATGACAGCCGTCTCTCCGACGACAACGGTGGCATGATCGAGCAATATCCCCGTCCGATCCTCACCCCTGGATGGATGTCCATGGCACACCCCTCAAACACCTTGTTCTGTATGAGCAGAGCCAATGTTCTACCTTGTGACCACAGCTTATGTGCCGTCCTATGAGATTGGCATTGAAATAAAGTCCTTGAAATTCAAGAAAGAGCGGACATAACTAATACAGGCAAGGTCTCTCTCTCATAGCCCTCATTTCATCTCTGATTCTCAAGATTTTTTGATCCTCTGTAAAAACACCCAGGAAAATAGAGCACTTTCTAGAATGCCATTTGTTACAGAGGTGCTCCCTGTTTTTCTCATAATGTGTCTGCACAAGTAAGGGTGTCCACAGATACAGGCCATGTGGAACTGCTGGTTGTGAGTGTGTTTGAAGCCTGGGCTTCTTATGTGACGTTTTTTATTACAACAATTTTTTTTTAAAAAAAAATTGCTTAGAAATGGATTGCAATCACAAGGAAAAATTAAAAGGATGTGTAAATGTGCTGCCAAAGGTATAACTCAAGCAATAACTGTTGTTTTCAAGTCTGCTCATACAATTGCTCTTGAAACGGATCAAGACATGTCACTCCTTATTTTCTACCCACATTTGGTCACTCGTGACAAAATGTTATTGTATTGTTCCGCATATAAATGCTTAAGAAAATATGTTGTACAAATGTATTGCTAGATAAAAAATAGTCCACATACAGTTGGTTTTGTTGTAAACAAAACATACACGAATTTATTACACTACCAGAATAATATTTTACTAGATTCTAATATCGTACTGCACTACAACAACATTTTACATGGAACTAACTACACCTATGATTTTGGTATTCCATGTCTCTCTAATCTTTAAAATACTTGAACAACCCAAATAAAAGAAACTATTCTGTCCATAAGAGTAAAATTGAGATAGTAACCACTGCCTAATTTCGTCATCATCGTCGTGCAAATACATGAATTATTCAAAATTAGAATTTGACCTTGCACTGTACTCTGCTACGAGCTTTGCAAATGAAGATGACTTGTTATCCAGCAGCTTTGTTGGAGAATCGTACTCCTCAATAACTCCTGCACCCAAGGAAATAAAATGTTAAAATCAAGAAGATTATACGCAAATAGTCTAAAAGATAAATGAGAGACTAATGAGGAGACACAAACCATTATTTAAAAGTAGGACCATGTCACTATCAAGTACAGATGTTATTCGATGTGCAATGGTTATGACGGTGGAATCAGTGAAGTGTTGCCTAAGGGTCTCCTGAATCAGATTATCAGTTGCAGTATCAACTGATGCAGTAGCTTCATCAAGCACCAGGACCTTGCTTTTCTTGAGTAGCACACGACCTAGACAGACCAGCTGCCTTTGACCCATACTCCAGTTCTCTCCATTCTCGCTAACTGCAGCCATCATAGGAACACTAGAAATAAGAATCCGCAGTTATATGGATTTAAGAAATTTTCATAAAATTTTAATATATAATGGTGGATGAAGACCTGCTGAATCAAGCTTGCCTTCCTTCTTTCTAACTTCATCTCCAAGTTGGCACTTGTCAAGAGCCTAAGCAATTCAAATACATGTTAATTAACTAAGCCGTCCAAACTACACGTGTACATTTCAGAGTATCTTAAATCAATTCGAGAGAAGAACTTCCAAACTCACCTCCCAAATTTGTTCATCTGCGTACTCTTCAAGTGGATCCAAATTGCTTCGTACTGTCCCCTCAAACATGGTAGGATCCTGAGGAATGATGCTCAATCTAGATCGTAAATCATGCAGTCCAATTGAGGAAATGTTGACACTGTCTATCAAAATTTGCCCAGCTGTTGGTTCAACAATGCGGAAGAATGTCTGTATGAGAGTTGATTTACCACTGCCTGTTCTGCCCACTATTCCAGTCTTCATTCCTCCAGGTAAAGTGCATGTCAGGCCTCGTAATACAAGTGGCAGATGAGGAGCATATCGGACCTATATTCATGCCCAAAACCATTACATATAGTCATAAAGTATAGGGGAACTATTTTTGCATTAAGAAAAAATAAACAAATAGCATGGAAGTAGAAATTACCTGCAGATCATGAATATCAACTGCTCCATGTGATGGCCAACTATGATCTGGCCCATTTGCTTCTATCACGAGAGGCGGCTCACTTGGGATAGAAGTGTATTGAAGTATCCTTTCAACTGATATAATTTTATTCTCCATATTGCACATGTTCCATATGACCCAAGCTTGTAACATGTTCAGATTAAGTCCGTATGTCACTGCCAATCCCGCAACGCCTTTAATTTATGAAGAAAAAAAAGAGTGAGAAATGCATTCCTTGTGCACCATTTGCCATGGAGCAAGAAACAATAGTCAATGAAGTTGACAAACAAGAACCACTTACTCGGATCAATTGTTCCCTCTGGAATGGAGATCAAGAAAACCAAAGAGAATACGAATACAATACAAGACAACATATCCAAACGGAAGCATAGCCACTCCATTGTACCAGCACTATGAAACTTGGGCCTAGAATTCCCATCTATCAATTTCATACTCGTGTCCCGGAATCTCGATTCCTGGTCAAAGCTCCTAATGGTAGTTGATCCTGACAATGTTTCAGCAAAATGTTGTATAACTGGAGCTTTGCTTACTCCAATTAACCGTGCCAATTCTCGTGCTGAAGGAAGGTAATATTGCTGCAATTGATAAGATCATTAGAACAATTCTCATTACAAATAAACTGAAATACGTGCCTACTAAGAAACACAGACACTTCTATGAGGTGCCGTGTCCGTGTTTGATACCAACACTTCATTAACACTCCTAAACACGTCCCTGATACATCATGATTGTGTCCATAATTTAAAAATCATTTTTATTATTTTGGACACTTAATCGACACATCTCAACCACTTGGCAACAATTCTCGCATATTTGGTCAACACATTCTAGACACTCATACAATATATCCCACACTTTATCCTATATAAAACAAACATATGACAGTCCTAAATATAACATTATGAACATAGTGTCCAACCTGTTTTTCTTTATAAAATTAACATTAAACACATGTCACACTATGTAATATGAACTAAAACTTAACTACAATGACAAGATAGAATAGTATTATAATATATTCTCTTTTATATTCAAATAGTGTCACCTTCTAACTTATGTAACTTTAGTATAAAAATTAAAATGTAATTAAAGTTTTATAATTCATGTAATCAAGAGATAAACAAATGAAAGTTTATATTTATATATTAATAATATCCATGTCAAACTTTTTTAGAATTTGACGTGTCGGCGTAAACGTGTGGTATCTTAGCAGTATCTATGTTGTGTGGAAAGTAAAATGAAACCTTCTTTCATGTTAGGAATTAGGGGGTTGAGTAAGAAATTTAGGCATACTATTGTTAAATATTTCTTTATACATATATTATTTTTTTTTTTTTAAATATCTTAGTTTTTTTTATTTAAAAAAAAAAAAAAATGCATAGCTAAGTGAACCAAACCAAGCCCAAGCCCTAAATTAGGGAGATCAAATTGAGTTTGGGAAGGAGTTTCATATCACAAGAAGAGTTTGGGATAATGGTGCTGTATACCAAATCTGCCACATTGTCATCACTGATCAGAAGCTTCCTCAAATTCTTGAGATTTAGAAACTATGCATATATATAATTTAAGGGAAAATATATGAATCTTATTAACAAGGATTTAACATCTGAATTCAAATATAAACAAGCGTGAATATATTGAAGTTCACGATAAAATGATGCTCAACCTTCATACAACCACAATATACAGAAGAAAAAGAAAACACCGCCCTGAATTTTCCTATCAAATGCTACAGAATAATACTACTTCTTACCCAGAAAGGTCGTAAAGCTACAGTTACTTTTAGCTTAGGCATTAAATTATAAGATTCTAACTACTAAAAAAATAAAATAAAAGCAGAGATAAGGTTAGCCTACCTGTAGCCAGACACAGACTGCAAGCACAGGAATGAAAACAATGAAGACCTGCCATGCAACCTGCGACATTACTGCAATAATTCCCAGGAGTTGTATCATTGTGAAAGCAAAGGCGCCAACTTGAAATGGAATGTTCAAGTCCACTGTGCTTTGGTCGGTGGATGCCTGTCAGAGAAAACAACTGGATCAACTAAGATATTCAACTTCTGATTTACTTTTTGGTGAGTGTAAAAATTCCACCATTTATGACTAAAACATGAAATAATAATAACAATAAACAAATAAATACATGATTACTAAGAAACAAATGCAAAGTCACTTACTCTATTCAGGATTCGGCCACTAGGGGTGGAATCAAAGAAAGACATGGGGGCACGGAAAATGCACAAATGCATTCTATTGAATAGTAGAGTCGCTGTCTTATACCCAGCCGTAACTAGAAGCACAGCTCTCATAAGGATACAGAAAGAACTTCCAATAGCCAGTGAAACATAGACAATTATGAGAGTAGAACCACTAACTGGAGCTGCCACATCCTTTGACACAGGGGTTGCCCAAGCCATCCAATAATTGCTCCCAATTTGAAGTAGCTGAAAGAGAACTTGTGACAACAATATGAAGGGCACAAGAACTCCTCCATAGGCTGTTGTGATATATTTCCAGTATACAAAAAGGCCAACTCTACCTTTCTCTCTTTCTTCTTCTTGAACAAGCTGTCCTTTTGGCCCCAAATTATCATCTCCTTTATCAATATGACCATTAACAGTATCCTCTTTCTTAACAACCTTCTCACCACTCTCCATACCATCCTTGCTGATAGTTGAATTTTCAGAGACTGACCCTTCCTCTATGGAATCGAGCGCCAATAAAGCTTTCTCATGTGCACCAACAAGTTCCATAAAGTTGCTTCCTGAATTGAGAATTTCTTTGTATTTTCCAGCTTGTGTAATTTTCCCATCTTTCATAACCTGAAGATACAGTAATTAGTTACATACCATGAGTTGCATCCATGGATAAAAAGGCATGGAAATTATAAAATATGAGTAGCTCACCAGAATGAGATCTGCAGCAGGTAAGAACTCTACTTGATGAGTAACGTAAATAACTGTTTTTGACCCCATAAATCGAAGTAAACATTCCTGTCATATCAAGATTAGAAAAGAAACCGTGGTGATTGACCAATATATTGTTGAAATCCAAAAAAAATTTAAAATTAAAAAAGATGAAATAAAAGCCACAAATCAGAGTAAGAAAATGGAATTCCAAGAGATACAGAATTACCTCAAACTATGTTTACATTCTATAAGGACAACATGAATCAAATTGTATGAACAAAAATTGTTACAAATAGAATTTGGAAAAAACTAAAAGTTTTTACTAATGTAAAATTTTTTTTTTTTCCCGGTAAAGAAGCTGTCATTGAATTAATTTTGCTATAATTGAATAAAAACAGTGACTTTCTTGAACAAAGATGTGAACATATGTAGCTCAAACAGAGAAATAGTTAAGAGTGTAGATGCAAAGAATAGTTACCTTAAAAAGATGAGTCCCTGTATGAGCATCCACAGCACTAAACGGATCATCAAATAGATAAATATCAGCATCTTGGTACAAAGCACGGGCGATCTGTATTCTCTGCTTCTGCCCGCCACTCAAATTTATTCCCCTCTCACCTATAACTGTCTGATCACCAAAGGACAAAATTTCCAGGTCCTTCTTTAAGCAACATGCATCAAGAACCTGCTCATACTTTTCCCTATCCATCTCCTTACCAAACAGTATATTATCTTCTATCTTTCCACTCTGTATCCAGGGTGACTGAGCAACATAGGCCTTTGTCCCACTGAGCTTCACACTCCCAGATACTTTGGGCATTTCTCCAAGAATACATGAGAGTAAGCTCGACTTGCCAGACCCAACAGTACCACAAACAGCAACTATCATGCCATGAGACACACTTAAATTTATATCTTTCAGTGTTGGATTCGGGGAAGATACATCCCAAGAGAAATTCCCGTCAACAATTTCAAATGCTGTGTCAGAACTACCTCTCGGAAGCTTTTCTATAACATCAGGTTGCAGGTCCTCCAGACGAAGGAATGATGCAATTCGGTCGAGGGAAACTTTTACCTGAGCTATCATGGAGATTGTGTCAGGAAGATTATATATAGACTCTTGAAGTATTCTAAATGTCGCAAGTGCAGATAGTATCTTCCCTGATTCAAGTGGGATCCCCATAAGCATACAAGCACCAAAAGTGACCACGGACACAAATGTAGGGGCAACCCAGAAGACAAAAGTGGTCATTGCTAAAGTATATAAATATTTTCTCAACCATCCAGTCTCAATATTCCGGTGCTCGATAATTTTAGACAAGAACTTCATCTCCCACCCCTGAAGCTTGAGAATTCTCATGTTCCTCAAGATTTCAGAGGTTGACTTCATCCTTTTATCTTTAGATGCCATCAACTTAGTCTGGAAATTCTTCTGCATCCTTCCTAGTGGAATATTCGCCAACATCACAAGTACAGTAGCCACAAATGCAGCAATTGAAGCAAGCCCAAGATTTTTATACAAGATCCCCAATGCCAGAGAAACTTGCAAGATCACCATCCACGGATCGTGCATGTACCAACTAAAGTCACCAATCCTCTCAGCATCAACCGTCATGAAATTGATGATCTCCCCACTGGCGTGGCCCTGCTTCGATTGGCAAGACAGGGTCAAACCCTTATTGTAGATCATGGCAACAAGTGCTGCCCTGGCCCTAATTCCAACCTGCTGCAACCTAAAGAACCAATGCCTCATCGCCAAGCACTCGACAAGCTTTGCCACGAAGAATGCAGAAACCAAATAGTAGCCTTCATTTTTGAACACTTGACTTCCATTAAGGTATTGAACAAAGGTGTCGATGAGGTATGGTCCGACATAGGAAGCCAATGTGTATAACAGCACAAAGAACGCTGTTAATAGAATCTCCCTCCACACTGTGCAAATCAATGCCTTGGCCAGCTTAAGCGTGGTGACTCCAGTAGTACTACCACTAGATTCTAGCTTATTTCTAAAAATTGGAAAGGCCTCTCTGACAGTATCAACACCAGCAAGCTGAGGCACATCCTCAAGGTCTAATGTTTTCTTCTTACCAATGGCAATCAAAGGACCAATCCAGGAGAAAGTAAGGATACTAAAAAAACTAGCATTCAAATAAGGGGTTACAGTTTGATCCCCTTTGGACTTGTTAGACGCTGTACCATTACTCAAATTGGTACCACCATTCAAAAGGGGTTCTTGAAGAAGGGTGTCTTCACCCTCTTTCTTACCAAAAACCCCCACAAAACAGAAGAATAATCCCGAAAGGACAGAAACAACATCCGACACCACGAATTGAAGTGGTAAAGAGTTTTGATTTTTGTAATTAACGTAGTCTATAACAAGGCAAATACAAGAAATTGAAAAATAAGAACCCCACCAAAGTCTTAATAGAAATGGGAACTTGGGTTCACCTGATTTCAAGAATTGGGTGTGCAAGTAAACAGAGACTGCTAACCAAGCAAGAGTTCTGAGTGCAAAATCAAGAATGGTTACAATCTTTTCCTCAGACCAAACATTTTTATACCAATAAAAGCAGGTCAGTAAAGACAGAACAAGGTTGAAAAGACACAAACCCAAACAAGAAAACAGAGTATGCTTGTAATACAGAAACCTAGTTTTACCAATACTTCGTTTTGGGGCCTCATTTCGACCGATCCTGAAACTCTTGCAAACCCAAGAAATAGACAGAACGATCAACAAAATTAGATGTAAAGAACCAGAAAACTCACGTACGAAGATGGGTTTGAAGAGAAAATCAGATGCTTTGTACACTGATGAATCATAGTGAGAGAAGAAAACTGACATACCCTGCTTTGATGCTTCAATAAATTCCATCTTTTTGTGAGTGAGGGGAGATGGGTATGTCAGAATTCTTGGAGAGGGTTTTGAAGTTAGAGAGTAGTGTGATATTATATCTTATACTGATTGTTTATATATAGATGTGTATATGCGATTTTGTGGCTTGGAGAGTGTAGGTGAAAGTAGAGAGAGAGTCAAAGTTTGAAGCTTGAGCACAGTATAACGTGGTGCGCAAGATTAAGCCGACGGAGGGAGCCAAGAAATGGGAAGACAAGTGGACGAAAGTTTCTTGTTTCTCAGAAATGATGGGGCACATACGACATGGACATACAGTGGGGGTAGGGTTTTTCATCTCATTTAACGAACTACCAATACGGTCCTCAACATCTTCTTCAATAATTTAAAATTAACAATACTATATATTATATATTCATGATGAATCTAATACGACGTCATCTAATCATCACTCTTTGTTGTTTTTTTTGTTTTTCATTTTATTTTATTTTATTTTTTACTTGTAGAACCCCAATTGGAAAAAGGGAGGCCATATTGACACTTTAATTTTTTTTTAAATTTATCTCCTCCCTTTCTCTCTTTTTAAGATTTGATATTTATCTTTGTAATTAATCATGGAAGACAAAAGCAGATCGAAAAATTGTTAATGAGATTGGTTAATACTAGTAATATTTTTTTTTTTTTTTTTGCCCCTTTCATATTGTGTGCTTTGAGTTTAATTTGAATTTTTTTTCCTTCATCTGATTTTTAAAAATTATTTTAGAATGTCTTTAAATTTCAAAGTATACTTTTTTGATGAGAAAAGTCGTAATTATTTTTATAATAAAATCTCAACAACAGTGATTTTGCGAAAAGAGAAAGCAAGAGATGGGTATTATGTACAATTATGTTTGTCTTTTAACGTATTATAATGTTTGAGTTTTCTATAATTCTAATTTAATCTTTATGTTATATTGTATTTTAATACTCAGTAATAAACTAAACGGCATTCCAAAAAAAATTAAGAACTAGGCAGAGATTAAATTCAGTTGGATAAATTCCCTTTTCACGAAAAAAACAAAAAAAATTATTGTGGCTTAGAATCAGATAGCAAATTATTGTAGGTTGGTGGTCACATACCATAAATAAATGGCATCTGTTATTCTGAAAGCCATCTCTGCATATAAAGACATTGTTGTTATCGTTTTCCTTTTGACCTCCATATTCAAACAACTTGACATGTCTTTTTTTGGCTAGAATGCGTGCTGAGCAAGAAAGTTACAAATTGGGGATATAATTGTTTCTTAGGGGTAAAAATGATAAAACAGTTGGTGATGTGACTACAAAGTTGGAATGCCATAAAAGTCTATAAAATAACGAATCATTTTGTGGGAATTTTCTTCTACCCACTCAACCATATCATAAAGTACAACTCTACACTATACAGAGATTTGTATCATTATTCATTATTGATCATCCATTTCATAGTCTCAATTTACTATATATATATATAATAAAAAATCATCCCTCCATCTCAAATTAAATTATTTTTTTTTAAGAATATAATTTTTTAAGAAGATGAATTTTAATATTTTTGTACTTTATTGATAATAATTCACTATAAATTGACCATAATTTGTTATTTAGAAATTTAATTTATTAAGTTTAAATCGGTAATATTAAAAAAAAAAATTAATCATAGTACTTTAACTTTTCTACTATGACATTTATTTTGAAATAATCAAAAATAAAAAGACAAACATTTTATTTAAAATTTATTATATTCCATATTCATATCATATGTACTCATATCCACATATATATTCATATCCATACTTCATCGTAGCAATCAACCAATGGGATACAGGTCTTCAAATGGACATGGGACCCACCACCATGATCCATTACTCATTTTGTTCCAGAATCTAAGGTGCCCTTTTATCATGCTTTATGGTTCAATTATTTAACTAAAATATCCTTGCCAGTGCTCGACAAATTAATTCATTGAGAAAAAGATAAGGACACGACAAGCTTAATTTCTTGGGACAACCTACAAAAGGTGACCTTTATGGAATATATTTGATTATTCTGCAACAATTTCTAATCACGTGTTTGACGAATTGGCCACTTGTCTAGACAGAGTACGACGTGTCCGCATCACAAGCTTCAGCTCTTGGGGATAGGAGGATCTTCCATCAAATGGGCCGACTCCATTTTTCGGAAGGCCCATTCTTGTCTTGGGCTCTGTTTTTTAGTACGGATTACTTCTGTTTAATAACATAATTAATATTATCCTGATTGAATTCTTCTATGAATTATTCTCTAGTTTATATAAATCCCAATTTATTTTGAGATTCTAATCTCTGGTTTATGTAAACGAATATTATACCCAAAATGTTACGCCACGTGAGCAGCGCGTATTTTTTTTTTTTTTTTTTATAAGTCAAAAAGTGTTAGAAATTAAATCAGTAGATATAAAAAGTCAAAATTTGACACTCCAAAATCAATCGGAGACCCTAATCTACTGAGCTTTCGAAGCATCTGCAACAGCCACTTATACACAGCTTCAAAAGACAAATGATATCCAGGCTTACTTATTAGATCTACTTAATAAAGGGGTCTTTGACAACGATTTTTTATTTTTACTTTTACTATGACCCGAAATAGAAGTAGTATTTCTATTTTAGGATGTGTTTAACACTAATTTGAAATTCATTTGATAGAGTAAATTTGTTGTAAGATTTTGGAAGGAAAGCATATTTGGTAAAAAGTGTTGTAAATTAAAAAAATTGAATGGCTAGCTAAAATTTTCATTTTAGAAAGAAAAATAAAATAAAATAAAATATGAACAATATGGAAGAAACCAAAAAACATCATTTTTATCCTCTGATTTTGGCTTCTTTTTCGGAAGCGCTTCGATACTATTCAAATGACAGTAAATATTACCAAACATGTTTTGTATTTTTGTTTCACTACGATACACTAATAAAAACAAAAAATATGAAACAAAAGCATTAGCCCAACGGTCCAGAGTGAAACAACTAAGAACATTTATGACCTGGAGTGATTTGGACTATTGAAGTGGACCTTTTATGCAAAGTTAAGATATTTATTCCAATCTATATGTGTTCATGAACAACTCAAATTCGATTCCAGCTTGTTCATTAATTAAATGAGTTGAGCTCGAATTCAATTTCTAAGCTCTTTTAATAAACGAGCCGATCCAGAATAGTGATGTGCGCGGCTCGTGTAAGCTGGTGAACATGAGCTCGTGTAGGCTCGTTTATGTTCATAAACATGAGCTCATGTAAGTTCGTTTATGTTCGTTAATTGTAGACTCCTTATAAGGTTCTTTAACATTTATTTCTAATTTTTAATGTAATTCTTTAATTTTTGAAAGTATAAGATAAATATACAATAATTTATTAAACTAGCTGGCAAGTTCGAAAGCAAGTCTAAACAAATTTTAACTATGAACTCAATTTATTTTCTTAAATGAGCTGAGCCTGAACCGAGCCTGAACTTTTTAACACCATGACGAGCCCTAGCTTAGTTTTTTGACCTCATCACGACCCCGAGTAGCCTAAGACTCGGCTTGGCTCGGCTCAATTCATTTGTAGCCCTAATAAGAAACACCGAAAAATCAATTTCAGGTTATAGCATTACCTTAATGCTATGATTGGAAGCACCAAATAATGATTTTGAGATTGGAATCGAAGGATATCTAGTTTAAAATGAAATTTATTCAAACTTTAAACTAAATATTCTCTAATTTCAATCCCAAGACGACTGTTTCAATGCTCCCAAATGTAACACCATAGTAAATGTAATTCTAAACATGAAAAAAATATATAAATAAATAAATAATAAATAAAAAATTGAAATAATTTCTATTTATGAGAATCGCTGAAAAAATCTATTGGACATTGAAGCATTACTCGTAGACTATGTTCAGCCGCATGGAATTGGAGTTTTGGATTTGGAATTTGTAGAATTAGAAAAAAAATTAGTTCAATTTTTTATAATTTTGAATTAAATTTTTCTTCAATTCCACTAATTTCAATTACAAGACTCCAATTCTATACAACCTATAATGTTTGTGCCTTTATATATATATATATATATGTCTGTGTGTGTGATGTACATTGAGTAAAAAAAAAAAAAAAAAAAAAAAAGAGAAAGCAAATTAAAATTTTGGTGGGACCCACCACCACACTTTTTCTTTTTCTTTTTCCCAGATAAGGAAGTTCTCCTCAATTTTTAAAATTAGAACTTTTGTCTAATCGGTAATCACATGACAAAATTTTGTTATTGTTAAGAAGGCCTCACTTAGTGGTTCTCCAAAATAACCTCCGTGATTTCAATAACGAAAGAACAAAATTAGCTAATAAATAGGATTAAAATCATAAAACTCTTTTATTATTTTTAAAAATTATCAACTAATTTTTTAAATTAAAAAAATTATCATATTATCTCTTAATTTTTTTAAAATTCTTTCATATCACCCCTTTTTCGTTAGTTTCCCGTCTAAAACTAATGGGATCATATCACATGACAATTACGTACAAAAGTTGCATCATTTTGCTAACCAAAATAACTTTGTAATTCGTAAATTACCTTTCTAACACTGTAATGTCACTTTAATAAAATATTAATATACTATTAAGGGCATTATTGTCATTTTGCAACAACTTAACCATTCTGACAGGGAAAGAGGGTAACGTAATAGTTTTTGTTAGTTCAGGGAGTTATTTGATAATTGATGATTTTTTTAAAACAAGAGGGGGGTTTATGATTTTAGTCCTAATAAATAAGAAAATTTTCATTATGGTAAATCACATTCAAAATTCATCAGTTCTAATTTACCATTTTTTCGATTTTGAAATTTAAAATCATACGTTTATTTGTCGGTAAGTAAATAACTATTGCCCTAAATAAATACTTGTATCTTTTAATTGTATTTGTTTGGAGATTTCATATTAATTATTTAGGTATTGGCATTAGTGGACAAAAGGAACTGTGGTCGGGATTGAATAATACAAAATCACATGAAAATAGATGTATTTACAACTAATAATTCATTTTTGATGAGCTCCCGGGGATATAGCGGCGTTGGTAGGAATCCGAGAGGTAAGTCATTGAGATCTCGTTTTTTAACCGCACTTCTGACTTAAATAGTGCGTATGTTGTGAGGCCGATACATGTGTTCTAAAAATAATAATAATAATAATTTTTAGTAGGATGGATGAAAGAGTAGGTGAAAAGGTAGATACAAGACTATATTTAATTGCCCCCGGGGGCTTGGATGAGTTGGTAAAGTGAGG